ATGGTATTAAAAATGTTGTCACTTTGAAACAAAATTGCTTCACTGGCAATGCAAATGTACTTAGATTTTTTCAAAACCGTAGCACAGATATTGTGAACTCTCTCTTGTATACACAGACCAAAACTTTCAAAAATAGGAGGCTAAATGTAGGCTCCTTTGCTTTTTAATAAAAGCACCTGAGTGACTTAAGAGCACAAATCCTATTGATTTCAAAGTGCAAACCATGATGGAGGGGTACAACCTGGTCAAAGTACGTCAGCTTTATTGGTTTGCGAAAATTCAGTGTATCAGAAGGTGGTGGTGGTTGCAAATATAGCATGGGTTATTTGCTTATTAGTGTTCTCCACAGGGTGGATTTGATTTAAATCACTAGTCAGGGAGACTTGATTTAATCATGGTTTTCTACATAAAAGTGCATTCTTGTGGGTTGCTATAACCTTAATACATATTCTTTACAACTCAGAGATAGATGTAGGTTTCATTTTTAGAAGGTACATGCTATACGTTTTTAAACAGCTATTTATTTTGAAAACTTTTCCGATTTAGTTTTACAGCTATATCAGAAAATGAATGATTGTTTAGTTATTTCATTTACCAAAGGTAATTGAAGCAAATATTTATGAAGTCATTGGGAGGTGAACTATCTCCAATTCAACAGGTTAATTATAAATATTTGGAGGATTTTCTTGCCATGCTGTATTAGGAGGAGAACATCACCAGACAGACATTTAAATTGTTTTATTTAACTAAAACAACAATGTTATGTATTCTGGATTTTTTCTTCAACAGCAAACATATAATATTTTAACAAAACAAGCATATGTCCCTCGCTTCCCACATTTATCTCCAAACTTCTTCTCCTTGTCCAGATCTATTCTGCCCCCAACCATCTTCTATTCATTTAATTTTTTGAAACTTTGCATTTTTAGAGAGAGGTAAGGGATTAACTCTGTGAACACAAATTTGCAGAGACAGCAGTCCTCAACTCTATTGTATTTCTCACCTCTATATATTATTTATTTATTTAAAAACATTTTTTGCTGTTAACAAGCATGTTACCTCTGGAGACACAAATCCACAGTTTGAGAAATGCAAAACTAAGCATCTCTGATGGTATCTTCTAGACTGAGCACTGAGTCCCATTGGGTAGATAGAAGAACCTAAATAATCGATACAGAAGCCGGTGGGACCCCATAAGATCGGGTCCTTTATCCATGAACTATTGGAACTCATTTACAAAACTTTGCTTAAAAATTACATGACTATATTGTCTCATACTATAGAATGTATAATCCCTATTCCATGATGAGAGATCTTTGAGCTATAATATATCTTAATTAAAACTATCTTTAGTTAAAATGCTTTTAGAGGAAAAAATCAGAAATCAAAAAAATCAGATTTAAATAAAATCCGTTTTTTTTTTTTTAAATCATTAATTTTTATCCACCCTGGTTCTCCCAGTAAGCATCTCAATGAGGCCTTAAATTTTTTTTTTTTTTTTTTTTTTTCCTTCCTCCCCGTCCCAGAACATATATAAGGAAAATAGTATGGTAAAGCCACAGCAAGTTACTTCTTGGCCACAGAATTTCCCATTTTGTTTTCCTGTTAATGTAAATAGTAGAATTGCTTGCCTGTGAGAGCACTAAATGAAAACTTTCAGATCAGTAGGCAAACTCTAGTTTTAATGGTACTTTGCTCTGTTGTAGCAAGCTTTCTCTTCACATTTCATTAACATGTCTGTGACGACATTCCATATTCTGTATGAAAATATGCTTATGATATGAATGACATAACTGAGATATACTTTATGCAAGATGGCTCATGTGAAATATCCTTGGAAAGGTTACTACTTACCTTGGGGTAATTAAGATTTGTGCTGATATCCTCTTGTACCTTTTCCACTTTCTCATGTATAGGATGTCTCTAGATAGTGTGGTTAAATCTAACCCCTGCTCCTTTACTGTTATGGCACTGGTATGTTCATGTTTCCTACATTTGAAACCTGCATGTTGCAGTTTTTCCTTGTAAATTTGTTACTAATAAATAGCATATTATAAAGGGATTGAAATGTTTAGTTTTTGGCGATGGGACTTGTTTTTACTTTTTTGTATTGTCTTTTTCTTGAAAACAGTCCATGTCTCCAGGTGTTTGTAGGTCTTATGCTGGCCACTGCTGATAAAGTGTATCTCACTGGTGAGCCATCTTCTCTTTAGAGTTCCGAAGATTAAAGCTTTCTTGTTAGTCACAGTCTGGAAGTGCAGGCTCAGTAGTGGGAATCTGGTAGAAAACATTTATCCAAAATAAAAGGATTATAGGTAATTCTCCATACTGACAGTCTTTCCAAAAGTTTACTTGGGGGGAGGGATAGCTCAGTGGTTTGAGCATTGGCCTGCTAAACCCAGGGTTGAGTTCAATCTTTGAGGGGGGCACTTAGGGATCTGGGGCAAAATCAGTACTTGGTCCTGCTAGTGACGGCAGGGGGCTGGACTTGATGACCTTTCAAGGTCCCTTCCAGTTCTAGGAGATAGGATATCTCCATTAATTTATTTTATACTCCTTGTTTGGCACACATTAAATTCAATGAAAAATAGAGCAGAAATTAATAGCGAGGTATTTGCACAAAGATCTAATGGAACACCTGGAAGACTTGTACAACTTTGTACCCCATAGTACACTAAATAGACTGGAAAAACTTATAATCTTCTTTGCCACAAAGATAAAGAAATAGCTCAGGCAATAGTAAGGTGGGGAAGTTATAAAGAATTAAAAAAAAAAACAAAAACAAAACTGAGCTGTATAAAATTGGGAATAGACAAGGTAGAGATAGCTGAGTAATCTGAGAGAAATGTGATTGTGGCCTTGTTTAAACTGAAGCTGAAGGATTGTGTATTTAATACAATTTTGGAAACTTCTTTCAGAACTTGAAAACTGTTTGCCCAAGACAAGTAAGAATCTTTCCTAGACAAGTGTCGTCAACTTAAGCAGCATGTATTCTTTGCTTTATTTATTGATTTGATTGATAGCGCTCAGGTTCCAGACTCTCTGGTTGCACAGAGAATCTTTTAAACCTGAACTAAGTGTGAAATAATACAGGGTCATCTTCCTGAGTCTGCAGGCATGGGACCATCACCTGTGCTGCTGTTCAGAACTTGTTACGCAGCAGCAGAATAAATGTTAATTGCAGCAGTTGAATTGACAAGACTTGACTTACAATCTCCTAGGTGGCAATGAAACTTCTGAATAGGTGACTTTCATGCTGATGCTTCTTGGGAAAGGTCTGAGCAACAGCAGAATAAGACACTGTCTGTTTTCCAAGTAAAACTGAAAAGATGCTGGGAGATGGGTAACTTGGTTAGACTCTCACTACCACTTTTGGAGAACCTTGGAATTTATGAAGTGGATGAGAGGAACACACTGTTCCTTTCAGTATCCAGAGGAATTTTTGTGGTAACAGTGGAGGCACGTTTCACATTAGTCTCCCATACTAGCCAAAAGCTATAAAAGATAGGGGTTCCCTAGGCTGTACCAAGAGTATTTTGGTTGTAAGCCAAGCCCTGATGATGGGAGGTTGGTTCTGTTCATTATTCCTGGACAATTAGACCCGGAACACTTAGTCCTGGTAAATGTGTCGAGCCTTATGGAAAGGATAAATGGGAGAATCAGCAGATGGAAGAACGCCTAGTTGTGGATGGGAAGTAGGGGAATTATTGTTGGGGTAAAATAGAAAAGATAAGTAGAATGAGTGAGCAAGCGAGATTTTTGACAAAAATGGCATAGACAAATGGAGGAGGAGGTAGAACTACCATGTAGGTAAAGGGGGGTGGCGGGAGAACAGGAAATAGGCACTGAAAACAGTGCAGGAAAAATTCTCTCATAGGAAAGAAGAGTAAAGTGAAGTCCAAGAAGGGAAAGCAAGAGACCATTTAAAATTAAATAAACCTACTCCTTTAAATTACAGTGGTGTGGTGACAGAGGCAATTTTGCTTTATGATGAGGACAACTAAGCTTGGTCAGAATTTGAAAGCCCTGAAGAATGGAAGTAAAAATTATGTAGATAAGACTAGAACAGATATCTAGATACGTTGCAGGGCTTTCTGTTTTAGAAAATTAATGCATTTAGTAGAGCACTTAGAGTGAACTACAATAACAGTGAAGCATGCTGTGGTATTGGTTCATTAAATCTATTTCCCTTTAAACCTGCAAGCGCGTCAGATGTATTGGAGTTGTACAAGGGGGAATAACAAGTTGCCTGAGTAACTACTATATTTATATCTACTTCTGGACAAGCGATTGTTTTGTATGGATATATTAATTTTTAAAAAAATGGTTTGGAGGAGAGGAATTTGGATAGCTTATGACTCTTGATTACAAGAGTTGTGACCTTTAATTCGCTTTTCTAAAAAGTAGTAACTTAGTATATATTCACCTTTATAGAAACACTTTTGGAATATAGTAATGTGCACAACAGCTTCAGTAATACTTTTTCTGTTTTTTTCTTTAATTTGAATCAAACTTACATGTAGCTCTGCTTTTAGATACTCTTGTACAAATATTGATGGTCGTCATCTGCAACTTGAAGGAAAACCAGTTTAGGGCATGCTTGCACTTTGGTAAAGACATAGTTAAAATAGTTTGGTTTAAGGTAGGGTGACCAGATGTCCCGATTTCATAGGGACAGTCCTGATATTTGGGGCTTTTTTAATATGGGCTCCTATTACCTCCCACCCCCTGTCCCGATTTTTCACGCTTGCTATCTGGTGATACTAGTTTAAGGAAATCTCAAGAAATGTAACAATTCAATGCTCACAGGTCTTAGCAGATTTGGCTAACATTTTATGTTTTGGTTAAGAAAACTCTTTGACTAGATATTACAGTGCATATAATGAAACATTAAAACATTGCTCTGTAACTGGGATTTGGACTTTGAGTGGCAATGGCATATGAGCTCCCTGTACTATTTTTGGCATCTGGGTGTTGGCTTGTCTTTTCAGAAGCAGTAGAAAGTTAGTTTAGATGTGCAAGAAGGCGATTTGCAATGTGAGCTCTCCTGTAGTACAACTTCTTTAAACATGGGTTGCTGCTTCAGTAAAGAACTAACTACCAGCAAAAATAATGAAAAAACTGGCCTGTTACAAAAATCGGTGGAAGAGGAGGCACCAGAAAACAGGATAAGTAAAACTTTACCTTCAATTTTAGAAACTGTGGAAAGTAAGGAGCTGCACGCAGCAGAAAAGACAGCTAATGGGACAGCTGCTTTAGTCAGTATTGAGTGCATTCATACCGATAATTGCATGGAGTCAAATCCTAAACGTGGGTTCTGGGGTAGAAAAACAAAGTATCCTTCATACAGAAGTGTGGAGAACACTGACAGTGAGCAAGTCACTAAAAGAAAGTATAACAGACCTTTTAACTTTTTTCTTTCATTTAGTCATATCCTAAAGGTCTTTAAAAGATATGAAAATTTGGAAAAGAGTAAAGAAAAGGAAGACTGGGATGGCAGTGAAAGAATAATTGAAAATACCAATAGGAATACTCAGTGTGTGAACAATACAGAAATCTCTCAATGTAATAGTCATAATGGAAATAAATATATTCTAGCCAGAGAGCCATGTTCATTGGATTGTATTTCTTCTTCATGGAAACCGGTGGCTCTAGACCAAGGCTCACAGGAAGAAACTTTGGTAAATATGAGTTATCTGGAATATTACCCAGTTAAATGTGAATATTCGCGAACACAGAATGAAATAATGGAGAATGTTCAAGACAACAGTCGTGACAGCCATAGAAAGATTTCAGATACATCATGCAGACAAACAGCAGTTCCAGCTTTTACCTATATTGATATAGACCATAGACAACATAGACGAGAGGAGTTTTATAGTATTTGTATTGTAGATGCTGAAGATCTGAAAATGGATGAAGAGATGCCAGCTACTGAGCATGGAGCGATTGCAGCAGACGTAGATAATTCAGCTGTTACAGTTGAAGGAATGTGCAATGTGGTATGCCCTCTAGACACTAGGAAAGAATTTCCAATCCTGCAGTCAGCACAAGTAGAAGCAGAGTTTAATACACAGAAAGAACCCTCTGTAGGTGAAGAAGAGCATAGGTCAATCCTGCAAAAAAATGAAACAAAGGAGTATGGTCATATGGATGTCCAATCATCTTATAACGACTTACTGGATAGCAGCTGTCAGACATATAAGCTAAATATGGACACTATAGCAACAGATGGTTTAAGAGCACTAGTATATGATGAGTTTCCTGAAAATAGAATTCAAGGATTGGATACACTAGATAGTAATGTCAGTTTGAATGAATCAATTAATAGAAACAATGAGTCTGTAAAATTTGTGAATGCTCTCGGAGAAGAATATTCTTATTCAAAAAGTGTGAAACGTGTTGACAGCTCCACTTCTGACCTCTTATTGGCTTTAAATGCTAAAGAATATAATTCAGGAAAGACTGAGAGAAATTGTAACACTGAGACCACACCATTTCATTTAAGTGAACATTTACTGAAAACTGAAAAGGAAGCAAATACTAAACAAAAGTTAGATGATACTATAGGTAACTTATGTTTCCACTTAGAATGTCACAAAATAGACAGTGATTCCTTTTCAGTGAAACAAGATCTCGAAAACCTTAGCCAAGAGGATTCCCTACTAAAGCCAGAAAGTCAGCTAAATTCTAGTGAGAAAACAAACAAATTTCAGACAATGTACTGTGAATTTAGAAAAGAGGCGCCTTTTACTACTTGTGAACGTGACAGTAAATTGGAACAGCTCCTGGAAGATGAAGAGAAATACGCAGATGAAATTTTGTGTAACTTGGAAAATGCTTTGGTTGCAAACATGATTGAAGTGCCCTCAAAATTGAAGAGTGTGTTAGATTTTCAAACTGATATGAAAGGCAGCACTGAAACAAAAATGTCAAATGTTTTAAGTCCTAATACCATGGAAGATGACAATCATGTGAGCATCATTGGGCAAACTCCCTCATATCAAGCAGATAACATTCGTGTGGAAACTGGTTGTCTGAGGACTTCATTAAGGGTAAGAAATCATACTTTAGCATCTTGCAAACCACATAACATAAGTACACATGCAATAATCCGAAAGGAAAACTGTCTAGAATGTCAGCTTTCACCAGCACTGCCAGAAAATAAAGGTAAATTATATGACTATTCCAGTTCATTTAACAAAAACAGTATTTCCTCTGTATCTTTGCTGGCATATTCAAATGTGAATAAAATGGACTTGAATTATAAACAAGATGAACTATGGGATAAATGTTCATTCCATGCAATGGAAAATGAATTGAGTGCTGGGACTGACCCTGCCAGATTAACAGGTGGTGGTGTAGAAATGGTAAAACAGCCAAAACTAGAAATGCATCAACGGGAGACTGTTAATAATGAAACAGAAAATAGTGAGCCAGATTCTGAAGTTACCATTTTTGATCGTGACAGTAATACACTAAGTCTCAATAGAGACTTAATGCACAATCAGAATGTTTTCTCAGTTATGCATGATAGACCTGTAACTTTGGAAGACTATACAGATGATAGATTAAAAATGGGGAACAGCTTCAGAAATCATGAAAGAGCTAGTAATCATATATTTGGATCTCCGAGCTGTCTGTCTCCATCAAGTCAAAGATCCTATTCAGATGTTCTTCAGAAACAAGTGAGAAAGTGTGATGTGATAGGTAACTGTGACGATACAGAATTAGAATCAGTTTACATTAAAAGGCCTACTGAACCTTCAGCTGAAGAACTTTCAGAAACTTATGAAAAATGTCTTTCAGATCTACAGGAACCAGAATTTCAAAGGGGTGAAGAAAATCTGTGTCTCAATCCGTCAAAAGAAGAAAATGTTGATGTTCCTAATACATCAACTGACCATGCAGAAGCACAAACCAGTGAGAATATAAAGTGGTTGGGAACAAAGAACACTGAATCTGAAAACAGCAGTTGTATTCTAGATGCTGAGATGAAAAGTTTGAAAACTATTTCCACTGCAAATCACGAACAGACTGAAACTTGTGATCTGAACTCAACTGATAAAGATTTTTGTGGGGTTTTTACTGACCCAGGGCAGGTAGATAGATATGCTGCTACTCCTTCATATGAATTATCTAATGTCCCAGTTGGTGCTAGAGAACTTCAGCAAGGCAATGAGAGGTGTGTTTTAGATCTGATGGAAGATATTTTGAATGAATCAGAAAATACCTGTAAACTAGATACACAAAATTCCCAAGATGGAATGGGTTCACAGTTCTTAACTCTGCAGACTGATAATGCTGATTTAACAAATCAGATTTTTTCTGACACCATTTTTAGTGGTAATAGTGAATATCTGATGGGCTATTTATGGAATACTGCTACTTCTAATACAGTTACGGAGAATGACAGACAACACATAACTAATGAGAATTTCCAGAACCAGCCTCAAGATTTGACAGTTTCTTCATTTGCTGTAGAAAGAGATCCTTATCAGTTACTAGTAGCAAAAAATGGTGATATTTGGGGATGGCAAGATGAAGAATTTGTAAGTATTTTTATAAGCATGATTTGATCATTTACAGTATATTAGACTTTAAAATATGGCTGTTGAAATTGGGAGTTGGAGTAAATCTAAGTCCAATTTATGATTTGACTAAACAGCACAAGTTTCATATACTCTTTCAAAAAGCATATTGATCAGTTTTGGCTCGATAAAATGAAGTTTACGTCATGCTGATATAGTCCAAAAATGTTACTGAACATTGTCAAATCTAAATCAATGCTGTATTTTTGCTGTTTAGAAGTTTAATCCTTGCCAAAGTGTGTGAATTTCCAGAATTGAGAATTGCTGTATAAATGAGATCTTGCTACATTTGTTCATCACAAGTAAGGAAAGCTATCTGAAGATTGTCAGTAGTCCCCTTCAGTGTGGTATCTAAGAGCTATATTTATAAACACAAAATAAAATGACATTTTCTATTCTAATGTATTCTACATCAAGTACATTAAAAACTGGTGAGAGCCTGCATCACTTACAGGACGTTTTAAATCTTAAATCAAACTTTTTCAGAGTAGTTCAGATCAGCCCTGCAAGGCGTCCATTTATTTCAGTGGGAATGCCTCATGTATGTCAATATTAATTAGATTTTTAGAACCAAGTAAATCTTGTGCCTGCACACTTCACACCAAGTACTCCTTCTCACGAGGAAGGATGGTACAGTGGGTAAGGGCACTAGGCTAGGACATGGGAAATTAGAGTTCAGTTTCCTGCTCTGCCACAGACTTGCTATATGAACTTGGGGAGGTCACTTAGACCCATACTTGAAAAGGTAGTTAGGCATTGCAGTGCTGAGTGGCACAACACCTAAATACATGTAAAAACTCTGCACCTTAGTCTCTGTCTGTTTCCTATCTGCAAAATGTGATAATAGCACTTCTCTTCCAGAGGTGTTGAGGCTAAATACATGGAGAAATTGACAGAGGTACAATAGTGATGGGGCTAGACACATGTGCTATGCATCAATCTTGCTAATTTACCCCATCCTCCCCACCTAAATCTCTTGTAGCATGAATCATTCCCACCATTCCATCACTCACTTCAGCTCATCAGTTCTCCACACCCCTCATTTAATCACTTTTCTCTTCCATCAAACCCAACCCTAAAATTCATCACCTTCCTCTCCTACCAAATCTGTTAAATTATAATGAGTTCCTTGGTGGCAATGGCAGCAACATCACACCCAGGGGCGGCTCTAGCTTTTTTGCTGCCCCAAGCACGGCAGGCAGGCTGCATTCGGCGGCATGCCTGCAGGAGATCTGCCGGTCCCGCGGATTCAGCATACCCGCCGCCAAATCCATGGGACCAGCAGACCTCCCACAGGCAAGCCGCCGAAGGCTGCCTGACTGCCGCCCTCGCAGGGACCGACAGGGCGCCCCCTGCGGCTTGCCACCCCAGGCACGCGCTTGGAGTGCTTGTGCCTGGAGTTGCCGCTGATCGCACCCAACCTGGGTAGGCCTCAAGTCCTCCCTGATGGCAAATGTCTCTCCCTTTCCTTGCTGCTCCACTTCTGCTGTTCCTGAGGCATGAGGGTTCTGCTTTGCCCCCTCCTTTATTTAGGGAGGAGACATGTGGAGCTCCTGAAATCTTTAGTTCCTTCCTGGAAAGGGATTAGGAACTTGGGTATCTTCTGCTCACCTTTGAGGAGGGCATCGTGGAAGTGAGGGGGGAAGGAAGAGGCTGCAGTGGAGCTAAATAGGAATGCTCTGCGTTAAGTCTTGGCCAACTGGGGGAGAGAAAAGAACAAACTTGACTTGCAGCTGCTTCTCCAACTCTGCTTTGGTTTGCTAGCAAAGCAAATGGAGTTACACTGGGCCTGTAGGTGGATCAGTAGCAGCTGCTCTTACCTTGCCCAGCAATTTCAGCACCAGCACCTGATTCACGTTTTTAAGTCCCTTTGCAATCATAAGGGCTGGGAATTTACTTTGTTTTAAAAATGGAAGCTGATGGCATTGGTCATAATCACTTGGGAAAGCTTCCTGTGCAAGCAGGCAAATGGGATTTTGCAAATCTGTTTTAGGTTAACTAAAAATACTTACTCTACCACTTTCTTTGCCTTTTTAAATGTTGCAAGCCAGAGGAAAACAGTGGTTTAATTTCTTCACATCTGTTTACCCTTTGGGGGGAAGGGTGTACTAGCACAATGCTGCAATGTTTGGGTTGCAGGCAGCTCAGAATATAAACTGTTCACTGTATACCATCTATAATACTTTGTTAATCAACTAAAAGTTGAAACTGTTAAACTGAATTTTGTGAACTTAAGTCTAGTAGTTGGTGTCAAATAGCAAGTAAACCAATTGGAAAAATGTGAGTAGTCTTCAGAAAATGGAAAATTCTTAACTTTTTTGTGCTTGAAAGATGATGAAATAAGATGTGCCATAATGGAAAATGCTTGGAGTGCCCTGTCTACATTGAAGTGCAATGTGCTGACATTAGCTGGCTCTGTGATCATTCAGCAGTATAGTGCCATAATATTTGTTTTTTGGAAAAGCTGGACAATAAATAACACAGCATGCCTGAATTCAGCAGCATTTAGAAGTGTATTACCTGCCACACACACTCATCACCCTTTTAAACTAGTATTGACCTTCTGGTTGTAAAAATGGATGAATTGGGAGTGTAAATAGAACAAAATTGTCTTCAGCACTATTGCCATTTTAGTGATTTCTATGATGATTCTGGAAACAGTGTTGTCCTATCCTATTTATACTAACTGTTTCCAATGCTGGTTAAGGGAGGGGGCATATGCTGTCAGCAGCATCAATTCAGTTTGCTTGTATAGGTGGTGCTAAAGGAACATGCCGAATTATCATGTTTTACTACCACCTTTTTGGCCGCCTTCTTGCCAAATGGTATTACCCACGTTTTGTCATACATACTTCATATGGTGCTATTTTTCTCCTCTGTTCTCTTTCACAGGAACAGGCAGGGAACAAATCTATTGAAGTAGAGATGTAACATAAATATTTGTTAATACATCTTTTCCATTGCTTACTGACAAACTTACAGATGACAGATCCATGGAAGCTACAAACATTAGTCTTTGTAGCCTGCAGAAATGTTAAGTTCTACACAATGGTGTCGTCCTTGCACCAGTAGTTCTATTACTGTTTCTCCTTTTTCCTCAATGCGATCATGTGTTGAAGAAACTTGGGATGCCCTCTAGCATTATATGTCAGGTTTCTTTTATGTCACATATATAAATGTGACTCATCTACAAAGTACATAATCCAAAATTTCTTTTGTAGGAGTCAACCAAGGTTTCTGAGTTAAATCCTAATGCAAAGGTATGGGGGAATCATATGTTACATTTGGAAGCTAGTGGTGCCACTGATGGTAGCGTGAACAAAACCTGGGAAGAAATACCTGACCATCCTCCAGATTCCTGCAAAGAAGGTATGAATAGTTTAAAAAGCTTCCGTTCTGGCTGAAGTAAACCCAGTCCAGAACTTCCAAGTAATGTCACAAATTTTCTAATGTAAGACATAAACATGAAAATGATTAAGAAAACAAGGGTATTCTCAGATTTCTTCCAGAATACAATTCTTTACTGAGGTTTATTTATATAAATCAGTTATTGCAAATGAAAGTTTAGACCTCCTTAATGAAAAATCCACTTCAGACATTTTCTTGTAATCCTTGCTACAGGACTGGATGCCAATGGTGATGGTGACAAAAAGCAGCAAAATGCAGTGTTAACAGAACTGCAAGAGCCAACGCTAACAGTTCCAGGGTCGGACCAAAGAGAGATGAACCCTTTGGCTCTAGATAATTCAGAGTATGAATCGATACATGAAACCACCCAGACAGGTAGGAAAAGCAACTTTCTTATGCTTCGATAGAAATTAATTGTAAACTCTTCATCTTGTATATGAATAATGAACATATACAGTAGAATCTCAGAGTTGCAAATACCTCGGGAATGGAGGTTGTTCGTAACTCTGAACAAAACATTATGGTAGTTCTTTCAAAAGTTTACATCTGAACATTGACTTAATACAGCTTTGAAACTTCACTATACAGAAGAAGAATGCTGCTTTTAACCATCTTAATTTAAATAAAACAAGCACAAACAATTGCCTTGTCATCCTTTCTTTTAACTTTCCCTTTATTTGTTCAGTAGTTCACGTTTAACACAGTACTGTACTGTAGTTGCTTTTTTTGTCTCCGCTGCTGCGTGATTGCATACTTCCGGTTCCAAATGAGGGTGTGTGGTCAGTTCATAACTCTGGTGTTCATAAATCTGAGATTCTACTGTACTATATACAAACATCACAGGAAATAATCACTCTTGCTCGTCAAACTAAACATCTTACAGAGTGTTTTCAAAATCTAAATTCTGTCAAAGTACAGTAGGTTTCCCTTAAAAATTAACATGCTAATATAAACATAAAAAGAACAGGAGTACTTGTGGCACCTTAGAGACTAACAAATTTATTAGAGCATAAGCTTTCGTGGGCTACAGCCCACTTCTTCGGATGCATATAGAGTGGAACATATATTGAGGATATATAGATATATATCTCTACACACACACATACAGAGAGCATGAACAGGTGGGAGTTGTCTTACCAACTCTGAGAGGCCAATTAAGTAAGAGGAAAAAAAACTTTTGAAGTGATAATCAAGATAG